TGGAATAAAATGTCTGCTTCCAAAAGAACCAGGAGAAGGGCAAGGGCCCGCCCAAGTCCTACAAGGGCTACAAGTATATTCCAAGTATGTTAAGATTAAATCTAAGTACTCAGGTTTATTTGTTACGTCGGAGAGGGTATTTAATTTTACTCAGTGATCATACCCCAAACGGACACATCCAACCATTATGGGAGAATTGGTCACCACTGGGACCTGAATATGTTTCTAATGGAGTTGCTCACCACACAAACTCCCCGTCCTGCAAAACGACGTTCGATCAGCACCATAGAGAGGAGCCGCAGTTGCAAAATTTATCAACCATCATTGAGCTTGGCTAAGCCCCGCCCCTCAGTCCTGATCCTTCAAGCTATTAGAGCTACATTACCATGGAACCACACTGTCACTAGGTGCACTCCTTGAAGAACTAGTAAAATGAGAACCGGTTGTGGAGGTTGTTTTGTGCCCCTCTGCTTCTTCTGGGTTTCTCTACAGCTGCAGTGGTATTTAGTTGGAACTTCAAAGAACATGTCTGTAGATGCTAAAGAATCTTTAAAGCTCCTGTACATGACAGTTAAATTATACAGTAGCCTATAACTTGTTCATTACAGGGTGTTTTTTCTTGAGTCGGTCAGAGAATAGTTTTAAGTCATTCAACTTACATCACACTCTCACTAACTGTGGAAAAATACATTTTATTCACTAACACAGTCAATCAGTTATTCACTCACTCACTCACACACTCACTCACACACTCACTCACTCACACACTCACTCATTCACTCACTCACTCACTCACTCACACAGTCACGCACTCAGTCACTCACTCACTCACTCGCTCACTCACTCACAGTCACTCACTCACTCACTCACTCAGTCACTCAGTCAGTCACACACTCACACACTCACTCACTCACTCGCTCACACACTCACTCATTCACTCACTCACACACTCACTCACTTACACACTCACTCCCACACTCACTCACTCAGTCACTCATTCACTTACACACTCACTCACTCACACACTCACTCACTCATTTACACACTCGCTCACTCGCTCACTCACTCGCTCACTCACTCACACTCACTCCCACACTCCCACACTCACTCACTCGCTCACTCGCTCACTCACTCACTCACTCCCACACTCACTCACTCACTCACTCGCTCACATCTATCTGAGTGCTATTATTAAATTGACATGTTCATTTACAAGCAAGGGATGGACATTTAGCTGTATGTTACAGTTATCATGACATACTGTAAGATACTGAAATGCGCCGTAAATTTAAAGCAATTTGTTAAAGTGTGCACGGGGTGCACACTCACTGGCACATTCACCCACTCACCCGCTCACTGTTTCCTCTTCCTGGTTGTTGACAACTTTAATGTAAAAATGTTTATTTATATACAATTAAAGAAAGAATCAGTTCAATGCAAGTTGTTTTTTCACTTTAATGCAGACCTTGAGTACAGAGACGACGGGGGACGCAGACATGAGCCACGCGGTGGGAACGTGGGGCCTCCTCGTGGTGACTCGAGAGAACCAAAGCTGCCGCAGCAACATGAAACCGGGAATGGCGCCTCTACGTGAACGTCTGGTGGCCTTCAGGTTCTCCTCCGCCGAAGCCCTCCGCGGCTCCCCGTGACCTACTTGGCTCTTATTCTCTGCCTCTCCGCCGGCAGCTCCGAGGCGAGCCACTCGGTGGTGCGTCGGCGGGCCTCCTCCCAGGTGTACCTGGGGGCGTAACCCAGGTCCCGCCTGGCCCGCTGGTAGGAGAAGCTGAACGGCGTGTTCAACATGGTGACGAGCTGCCGGCTCAGCGGCGGCACCACGCGCACCAGAGGCCGCAGCGCGCCGCACAGCACCTCCATCAGGAAGCAGAATGAGTAGAGGAGCCACAGCGGGTACATGAGCCTCTCCTGAACGCGGAAGCCCAGAGGCGCCATCACCGCGTGGTTGAAGTCCGAGTAACTGACGAGCGGCGTGTCGTCGGACACGAAGTAAAACTTTCCCCCGATGGCGTTCCTCTTGTGCGGATCTTGGAGGCCGCGCGCCGCCTGCAGGTGGGCCGCGGCCACGTTGCCCACGTACACGGGATTGACCCGGGCCTCCGGGCGGGACATGCGGAGCAGCACGTCTTTGTTGCGTACCCCGTCGGCCATGTGGCCCAGCAGGAAGCGGCAGCCCTCGCCGTAGATGTACATGGGCCGCAGGGCGCACGTGGCCAGTCGGCCGCCGTTGCGCAGGAGCTCGCCGTGGGCCTGCAGGGTCCGCCGCTCGGCCTCCTTCTTGGTCTTGCTGTAGGCGAACTTCAGAGCGCACTCGTACGCCGTGTCCTCGTCGCCGTTGACGACGGGCTCGCCCCTGGCGTTGGGTCCCATCACCTCGATGGTGCTGGTGTAGATGAAGGACGCCACGTTCTCCTGGACGCAAGCCTCCAGAAGCAGCTGCGTTCCTGCAGAGCACAGAGGACATCAGGAGATCGCCAGCCAGAGGGCTTCATGGCGTCATGGCGGCGCGTCTTTGAAGATTTAGTCGCAATCAACATAGTTGACTTCATTATACATGGAGAATAAAATGTTAGGTTTCCGGGCCTCGCCTTTGACATTGACCCCGTGTATCTCGCCGTACTCCACCGCGTCCTTCACGTCGATGATGGACGCCACGTGGAACACAATCGACGCTCCCCGACAGCTTTTCCTCAGGAATTCTCCGTCTCTGATGTCGCCCTCGAACACACTCAGCTGGGTGTCGCCTCGAACGTCTGACACAGAACACGGAGTCAGCAGGAGACACCCGTCAATCAACACGATACGAGGTTTGATTGGAACCTGAGGTAAAATAAATCCATAACAACGAGCTGCTGGGGGCCTCTGGGGGCGTCGACGGTTGTATAGATACGTTTAAACCGCTGCTAATCATCACATCCCCGTCAATTACAAAGAATATAACACTTAGTATACAGAAAGTAATTAAACTGTTGAATTGTAGTTAAAAACAGTGGGACATAATATTAAAATATCATTTTATCGTGGTTTAAATAAACCCAAGTGAGGTACAAAGGTTAAATCTTAATAAATAACTATGTAAAAATTATTATTTATTATTATGTATTTATTATTACTTATTATTATTTTAATTGATTGATATTGAAGATATTTTGAGAATTCATAAATTTTTAATCCTTCATTTGAAGATTTGGTTGTAAATCTGTCAAAGGCCTCCCTAATTTAAAGATAAATAAAAACAAAGAAACACTCTAACACTCTACAATAAATCATCCCAGGCTAAATAATGACAATAACAACCCTGTACTGCTGTTATGTTGCTGCTCTTTCCTCTTCCTCTTCTCCTTTTACAAATTATAATTGTTGTCTCTTTTGGAAGGTTATTCTTTTGTTTCAGTTTATTTAATTTAATTTAATTTAATAATTTAATATTTCTCTTATTATATTGTATATAATGTGTATCTTTTTATTCTATTTTCTTCCCTGTACATGCTGCTGTGATACCAAAATTTCCCTCTTGAGGGATCAATAAAGTATCTATCTATCAATCTAAACTCCTGGAATAACAGTCTTTCATCTCCCGCTCGTATTAAGATGAAATTACACAACTATATTTGTATAAATACATTTAGAGATGCTGCTTTTAATGGCTGAAGCTTGAGATATTTAAAGAAAGAAGGAGATAAAGTAAATCTAAAGTCTCTGTACACATGCTGAAGGAAATCTTTTACCCTCCAGCGCCTCTAAAAGCTGCGGCCGGACCCGTCGGTCCAGCAGTCGTATCTCAGCGGCCTGCTCCTCCTCCAGCAGCAGCCTCACCAGCCGCTGCCCCAGGAACCCCGCGGCTCCCGTCACCACACACGCTTCCCCCCGCAGAGACATGGCAGCTCGATCCGCGACCAAACCACCGCCGCCGTGCGCCTCGGTGGACCTCGTGGAGGAGAGAAAAAGGCCCCCGAAAGAAAAGAGAACGTTGAGATGTTTGGGGCTCCGTTTGTCGGAGAGAGACAGCTCCTTCTGCGGCCAGCATCCACCACTTTTCCTCTATTTGTAAACCCAGACCGCTCACCAGAAGAGATACGGATGGATGCCCTCGTGTGAGAAAAGGGGAAGGGCGAGTTAGTGACGCTGTTAGGACAAGGACAGCGAGTGCGTGGAGTTAACTCTCCACGTCTCTGGAGAAAAATACAAAGAGCAATGTGTTATCTTTAAAGATTATTTATTGAAGATGAACAGATACAAATAATGCTGAGATCGTTTATTTAAAAGCGACAAAGACTCACAGCGCGGCATAAAATATCATATGTATTGACAGAAATAAATGTACTCAAATATATAAGAATATCTGTATGAATGCAGCTATTACAAAAACACCCATAACAATCCTATGTTACACTTTAATATCCTGAACTGAAATTTGAAATGTGAAGGTGTAGTTTTTACTAGCTGACACGCTTCAGGCTGCACTCATTCACTTGTACACCATCATGTGATTTATGCGAGAGGCTCAGCGGAGCCGCAAAACCCCTTTAAAAGGGCCGATGAGCACATCCGATCTGTTCAGCCTCCACGATAATGAAGCGCTTTCTTCCAGAAGATGTGCGGCCGAAGCAAACAACGTTGGACATTTCAAGGCGACAGTTGTCTGCCAGACCGCCGAACATGTTTCCACTCGCGCCGTGATGAATGGAGGTCGGCCTTGGTTTGCTCGTCCACGTGGTGCGTGCAGCTGTTGTGCTGGAAACCCCCGAGTGCTGCAGGGTTTTTACCCCCGGACGGTGTCATCGTGTCTGTGAACCTCCCACAACATTCCCGTCTCTGAAGTCAGTCCATCCACGGCCGGTCTGTTATTCAAGGGTCATGTTTTTTGGGGTCATCATTTGCTGCATTTGAATTAAGAGTGCCGCCGTGTGTCTGCGCGGCGCAAAGAACCACTTTGTGTGTCCTTCTGAGTCGCCGTCGCCGTCTCCTGGTCAGTGTTTGTCGACCTTGGCGCAGAAAACGACGTTGACTTATGTTGACTGCTGACTTATCTGGAAGATGAAGGTTGACGTCTCAAGGGCGCTGTGCTCGTCCTTCACCCGCATCTAATCAACCCACTGTGTGTGTGTGTGTGTGTGTGTGTGTGTGTGTTGCATCTGCATACACACACATAAATATACAATATGACTTTTGGTATTTGGATATTTGTCTGCTGGATTTGAGGTCTAATCTGCAGTTTTATTCTTTAAGAAAAGGTTCACAGCTTCCAAGCTTTTGTTTTTGTCTCATGACTTGACTGCAGATCGGAACAGACGGGGCGTGTTGGGGGCGTGTTGGAGGCGTGTTGGAGGCGTGTTAGAGGCGTTTAGTTATGACATTATTGGAGAGCGATCAAAAAGTATAATAATGCCCGCTTTATTCCTCCTCCCCCCCGCTGAAGAAGCTTTGGTGACCCCCCCCCTCCGCCCATCAGCTCTTGGCCGTAGGCAGCGGGCCCTCCGGCATCTGAGCCTCGTCCACCGAGCCCTCCGGCAGGTGGACCGTCATGGTGCACGCTCGAATCCCCCCCAGCGGCTCCAGCACGTTGAACACGCGGTCCCACTCGTCCCGCTCCGGGTCGTACCGCTGCACGATGTCCACCATGCACCTGCTGTTCCAGGAGTAACCCCCCACCACGTAGACCTGCCCGTTGAACACCGTCACGCCGATGTCGCTCTGGCCCCGGGACATGGCCGCCACCACCGTCCACTGGTCCGCCTCCGGGCTGTAGAACTCGCAGGCCAGGACGTCGTCGTAGTCGCTGCTGCCCCGGAAGTGGTTCCCGCCCATCACGTAGAGCCGGTCCCCCACCGTGCACATGCAGTGCAGCCCGCGCAGCTCCTTCATGTCGGCGCGGCGGGCCCACGCGTCGGCGACGGGGTCGTAGCACCACAGCTCCTTCTGGAAGGTGTCCCGGGTGATTCCACCTGGCGAGGGAGAGAGGGCCCGACTCAGTGGGGGATTTCACAGGGCGTCACTCCACGTCTCCCACGTCAAAACACTCACAAATCTGAGAATACACCCGTTTTTACGCCTTTATCTCCTGCGCTTCAAAATAACCATTTCTCCAGTTTTCAGCTGCTTTCAACGCATTTTTGTCCGGTTGTTCGGATCACCAATGACTTCAATATTAAAAATCAAGGTTTAGCTCCCACGGAGCCGTGTTTTAGTGGGCGGATCCAACCAGGTCTCACACGCGATGACACTGGTTCCCGGTGAGGTCGTGAACAGCTGTTTCTGGCGGCAGGTGTTTGTGTTAACATGCTAGACACAACGCTGTGATAAGCTACGAGCTCACGCGGTTTCAGTCTGAAACCCGGAGGGACGAGTGTGTGTTGTGCGTTGTGTGCACGCTGCAGCCCGTGGAAGTGGCTCTCGAGTGCGTTGCACAGCACAGAGACGGTAACCACAGGTCTCGATCGGCTTCCTGCTCCTCAGTCATGCGTGTGGAACAGCATCTGCTGTCACACCTTTTCTGTTCCGCAGACTTCGGGTTAAGAGTGTTTACTGGTGAACAGGAAGTGGTTTCCCATTGGCCAGCCGAGCGTGCTCCTTCCACCAGTCGCTTTCACCAAATGGAACCTTCTGTTGCTGACAGAAATGTCCTGCATCAACAGTCGGGTGTGTCGAGAGCATCGCGCTAGTTTTTAAAGCCTAGCGCCTGATGGGAAACGCCTGACTCGAGCCGCATCGACGAGCTGATTGGCTCTCAAAGTGGCGGCAAACACCCCAGTTTCTAGCGTTGAACTGTTCTATGAAATTGGGGTACTTCACGCCAGATTGTTGGCTCTTACAAAATGCTCGGCTCCTTACAAGATGGGATCTGTTGAAACACCAACAATGACCGTTGTGTAGATTTCCTCAACTGTGAGAATAAAAATTGCCCTTAAAAGGAGCTTCTGCAGGACTCACACAGCTGTTAAAGGGGAAGTCGGCCGCTCTGCAGCCTGCACGTCACTGTGTAACGACCACGACCGTGAGCATGTAGTTCCTGCTTAACCAAACCACAGGGGCAGCATCATGAGGGGGGACTAGGAAGACACTGGTTTGTTGTTATTCAGACTTTCAAACTCTCAACCCCGGGTGGAGGACTGCTGGAGCAGTGGAAAGACGAACAAAGTGGAGTTTTGTGGCATTGAGGAGTGAATCCTAATGATACTTTAGTGAAGAGTCGATATTGAGGACACAGTGGTTGGCGATTGTTGGGCGATCGGGAGAACCTGAGGGGAAGATAGCCGGTGCTCAGACCCCCCCCCCGGCGCCTCACTCACCCGAGATGTACATGAGGTCCCCGTGAACCGTTCCGGCGTGTCCGTAGTGAGGCTCCTTTATGTTGCTCACGTTTGTCCACTCGTTTCTCCTCAGGTCGTAGCACTCCACCGTGTCTGATGGGATGGAGAGACGAAAGAGGAGCTCAAAGAGAGACAATTGCGCTGAAACACGTCTCAAATTTGATTAATTTATTCATTAGCTGCTCACCGATCTCTCCCGAGGCATTCCTTCCCCCGACTGCGTACAGTTTCCCCTTCAGCATGCTGAGGTGGAAGAAGGTCCTCTTCTCGTTGAGCGAGGCGATCTGGAGCCACTTGTCGAAGCGCGGGTCGTAGCGGTAGGCGCTGTCGATGGCCGTCTTTCCCTTGGTGTCATACGTGCTCTGGCCTGAGGACAAGAATCGAGTCAGTGGACGATAAGTGAAGATTTAAAAAGAAAAATATGTGGAGTTTGTAATCTGTCACACATGAGTCTCGATGATAAAATGACTACTTCCCTTTCAGCTAATTCCATTTCTTAGAATGGTGCAAATGTAGGGCCACCGTTTTACAAGGCGACAATCTTCAGTTACGCCAAAGCTTCACGTGTTAAAGCTGCATTCTCTGCAGCGACCACCAGGGGGGCGACTCCTCTAGTCCTACAGACGTCTACGAGACGTCCACTTCTTTACTACAGTCTACGCTTTTCAACAACAAAACTAGGCCTTGTCTCTTTCAACAGAGGCTTCATGCTTCATGCACGGAGCACGGTTTACAACTTAGCTTCTTCTGTTTAGTCTGTTTGTGGCCGAAAGCCAAATCCATCCATCCATCTGCAAAACGCTTATCCTGCACGCAGGGTCACGGGGGGGCTGGAGTCTATCCCAGCCAACAGACAGGGTACGCCCTGGACTAACATACAACCATCCACACTCACATCCACACTCATACGGGCAATTTAGAGTCACCAATCACCCTGATCCCCAATGCGCATATTACATGAACAGCTGCAGGTCGACCTGCTCGATGTGGCTATCGGGTGAAGTGTGGGTGCTCTGACCTCCAACGATGAAGAGGAAGCCGCCGAGAAGGGCCACGCCGTGCTGGTACCGCGGCACCTCCATGGGCTTCAGGGCCCTCCAGTGGCCGGTGTTACCGTCGTACAGCCTCAGCTCGCGGCTCACCACCAGCTGCTGCCGCATCACGCCGCCCAGGGCCAGGATGTGGGTGTCATCGGAGCGGATTTGCGTGCGCTCGGTCTGCAAGGCCGGCTGCATGAAAGGCATCATCTGGTAGTTGCTGGCCTCCAGCAGCAGGTTGACACAGGCCGCATCAGAGCGCATCATGGACTCCCCCTCCTCCTCGTCCTCCTGGGAGATCTGCATGAGCTCGCTGGGGCTCATCAGCGGGAAGCGAATGTGGCGCATCAAGGCGTGGACGTGGCAGCGGCGACTCGGGGGGTCGTGGTCCAGCCATCCCCGGGCGATGTGGTAGAGCTCCATCTCGGAGAATCCCTTCAGGGAGTTGCTGGACAGCGCCACGGCCATGCTGGTTTTAGAGAGCTGGAGGTAGCGGCCGGACTCCACCAGCGCCGAGAGGTTCTGGCTCACAAACTCACCTGGGTGCGACGCAACAAGGAGGATCAACATCACCAGTTTGTCAAACCAAGAGGATTGCTACCATTTGTAAGAGCGGGTCAGTAGTTAGCTGAGAGGATAATTCAGTTCTGTTGATTCTGAACGTGCTTTCCTCATGAAGCTCCAGCACACCGTGTTACATGGAGTCTTCACAGAAAGCCCCTTGGTGAGGTTTTGGAAAAAGTGGTAAAATTCTTTGTCGGGTTTAGTCACAAAAACTACTCAGAAGATTGTGGCTGGGTTTTAAAATAACTATGGAAGTGATGTTACTTAATTGTGGAAGTTACTTCACCGTTTTCGACTTCTTGTTCCGCGTGAGAAACACACCCCTAGTTCATATCGCTTCTTAGACCCGTTAGAACCGGACAGCCTCTCGAGGTTCCTTTGTTTTGCGGCATGATGAGTGTGAGTCTTTTGATATTATACTTCCCGTTCACCCATAAAAGAGCATGAACTAAACCGGCCCTCAGGCATAAGGTTTGCTCCTCTTACTGGACCAATAGTCATTAAAGGCTGGGCTTTATAACTCCACTGCAGCTTTGCAAAGTCACCCAGCGGGATGGATCGATCGCCCCTTCCGTTTTAATCCCTCTCTCCACCTCGTCTACGGTATCAGTCCCGATCCGATAGAAGCTCTGCCACTGTGCTCTCGGGTCACTGTTGTGAACACTCACCTATGTTCAGCTGGACGTCCTCCAGGTGCAGGTCTGCGGCGATGCGCTCCACTTCCACACAGTTATCAATAGTGATCTGCATCCGACAACACCAGAGTCAGTCACGAGCCTCCTTTTCATTCGGCATCGTCTCACTGACACTCACAGACAGAACCAGTTAATGCAAAGGCTCTCACCTCGCTGCTCAGGAGCTGGTTGCAGAAGCTCAGGACGGGCATGACCTGCAGGAAGTTTGCAGCCTCCAGAGTGTCCTGGAGATTCCCCATGTCCAGGCACACTTTGGATGTGTAAATGAAGTCTATGATGTTCTTTAAACCCAACTTAGTGACCCCGTGCAGCTTGATCTCTCTCATCTCCTGTTCCCTCATGCCTCCTGGACAAGGAACCAAAGAGGTGGATGCATCTTTTTCTCTTTGTGTGCATTCAGCAAGATGGAAAGACGCTGACACGTAACGCCTGGCGGCTGATTAATAATGACGGAATTATGTTTAATGCATGAGTTCTTTCTCTTTTCTATTACTATTTGAGAATGTTTATGTTGAGGGCACAAGTGTCAACCTGAAAATATATTGGTTTGTGTTTTTATTTATGTATTTATTCACATTGTTGCAAAGCCAGAAGTGTTTCTATGGAGGACTCTCTGCATCCAGCATCTGCTCTATTTTGGAATGTTGCAGAAAATAATCTCTGTGGCGAATAAACACTTCTTAACTTCTAAAATGTGACCATGTCTTCTGCAATGGCAAAGAAACACTAAACAATCCACACATAATGCTTCCCGACACACCTGTTACATAGTGAGATGAGTTTGTCTCCTGCTTCAACCCTGATAAAACGTGACCTCTCACCTGTGAACATCGCCTTGAAATAGTCGCTACAGGAAGCCATGATGACTCTGTGGACGGGGAAAGTGTCCCCGCTGTCCCCGGGGACCAAGACGACGTCACAGAGGGTGTCGTCTGCCCGAAAAGCATCAAAGCCCTGCAGGAAACACAGCACTTGTGATATCTCATGGCTCCCCATCACTAATTTCTTACCACAATGGTGGGTGATTCTCAGAGATTCTTTTCAGCCTTCTGATTCTGAAATGTTGGGGGTAGTTTGCTTTTTACGTCGCCATCTTGTCTTTTTGCAACCAGTGAACAGTTACCATCTAAAGGCCCTTTATGGTCTAATTCACTCTAAATGGACCATAATTCACTAAATGAACATCATGCTGTGTTGAAGAAGACTTGAAACTAGAGACTGAGACCATAAACTCATGTTTACAATGTTTACTGAGGGAATAAATCCAGAGAGAAGTAGAGTCATTTCCTCATAGACATCTATGGGAGCAGAGGAGTCGCCCCCTGCTGGTCACTACAGAGAAGTAGAGTCATTTCCTCATAGACGTCTATGGGAGCAGAGGAGTCGCCCCCTGCTGGTCACTACAGAGAAGTAGAGTAATTTCCTCATAGACATCTATGGGAGCAGAGGAGTCGCCCCCTGCTGGTCACTACAGAGAAGTAGAGTCATTTCCTCATAGACGTCTATGGGAGCAGAGGAGTCGCCCCCTGCTGGTCACTACAGAGAAGTAGAGTCATTTCCTCATAGACGTCTATGGGAGCAGAGGAGTCGCCCCCTGCTGGTCACTACAGAGAAGTAGAGTCATTTCCTCATAGACGTCTATGGGAGCAGAGGAGTCGCCCCCTGCTGGTCACTACAGAGAAGTAGAGTCATTTCCTCATAGACGTCTATGGGAGCAGAGGAGTCGCCCCCTGCTGGTCACTACAGAGAAGTAGAGTCATTTCCTCATAGACGTCTATGGGAGCAGAGGAGTCGCCCCCTGCTGGTCACTACAGAGAAGTAGAGTCATTTCCTCATAGACGTCTATGGGAGCAGAGGAGTCGCCCACACTGCTGGTCACTGCACAGAATGCAGCTGGTGAAGCTTTGACTTCATTTATCACATTTGTTTCCCAAAATAGGATGTTGACGTTGATAAATGACATAAAAACTGTATCAACTGTAATAAATCACCTTCAACACATCTGCTCCGTGCTCCGTGCCGCTAAACAGCCTGGACAGCGGCCGGGGGGGAGGTTTGGGCTTTGTGGCTTTTTCTGGGCGCTTAGGTGGCGTTTCCATGGGTGGGGGGAGAGGAGCCGGGGCCGGGGCCGGTGGAGAAGGACAGTCATCTATCAAAAGAGATGACAGATGTTGTGATTATCAGAAGTAAAAGTACTCGTCTGTGTTGTGTAGTATTATTGGATCGATGATTTCTTGATGAGGAAGCACTTCATGTACTTTACATTCCAGATCTTTGTCACAGAGTCAAACTGTTATCTACATGTTTGTCTGCTATGATTCATCATTTAGAAAAGTCGAATTAAATGAAATGGGAACAAGTACTGAGAAAAGAAATGCAGAATGCAAGCAGAAGTGAGATTGTGGGTTTTGTTTTCACAAGGGGGTCTTTTGTTCCTCCCACGGTAAACTGCGAGCATCAAACTTGTACTTTTCTGCGGTCGGCTGGATGAATGTCGTTTGCAATGCAAAGGAAACACACATGAGTTATGCAGCACCGTTTTAAATCAGACAATGTAGTGAAATGAACACAGGAAGTTCACTCAGGCATTCAGTATCGCCTTCTGATGCGTGATCCCCGCAGAGACACCGACCCCATGACGGCAAAACACATGTAACATGCAACATGCAACAGGGTACTAGAACTACATCCATAATAACAATACGGCTTATTTGTGTTGAAAACTACATTTACTAATGATCACTTTTGGTGGGGTCATTTTGAAAGGGGTTATTATACATGTATAATACAAGTATGTAGAGCAGAATACATGGTAATAATCTAATAGTACACTATTATATAATAATAATGATGTATATCAGATGTTCAGGGGCATCTTTCACGTTATTTAAATAATCTAATCTGCTTTCGACACCCCCGAAATTTCCGATCAGTAACTTTACTGAGACAAGAGCAACACACACACACCCCCAACGGCCACACGCTCAGACACACACACACACACACGCACAC